CGATTCGGCGTCTACTTACTAAACAATATTTTAAAAATTAAGTTTACTAGCTCTATTTTGTGCGGTTGGCTAAACTGTGTGTTTTGTGTTAATATTATGTTATTATTATTATTGTTCTCACTATTGTTATTATTTACATTTTTCTCTTTCCTGCATCTGCTTGTCTTCCTATAGTTAATTAATGTTTTCTCTTTCCTTTGTGTGACTTAATGTTACTTTAAAAATTAATTTTGCTTAGCATTTGGTAGTGTATTCGTTTATTGAAGTTGTAATCTTGGTTTTTCTTAATTTATTTTATTTTATTTTGCTGTTTACCAAAACTTACTTACATTATTTTTTAAGCTATTTGTGGAGATTTATAATTAGCATTGTAACTTGTAATATTATCACTTATTTGTATTAATTTAGCTGTTAATCTCCCTAAAATAAATAAATAAATAAATAAATAAATATTGTTTATGTAAGTGGCCATCCGGAAACTTATAGTGTGCCCTATGTATTATGGAATTGCCAATAGTTAAACATACTTTAATATTTTTTAGTTTTTACTCTTTTCACAAATTGCAATCCTTGACTTACAAACTTTTCAATATTTGAATTTTATTATATTAGTAAGTTTGACAGCTATGAATTAAAGCAATGTGAACTAAGTTTTTATTTTAATCTGCCCTTATAATGTTTCATTATTTGTATAATACCTTTTTTACATTTGTCTGTAATGGATTTTGCTTCCTCGAAACAAATAATTGTCAATACCTGTTTACTGCCTGACCATAATAACTTAATAAGACAAGGTTTTTGTTTCGATTATAAATATGATAATGGACCATTTGTTTCGTTTCTATTTTAGTCCGTTACGCTTTGCAACCGCATTGAAATGAATCATTAAAAAAAATTACTAGATCATATACGCTTAAATCGATCTTCATAATAATCGAATCATACGTATGTGTATCCCTAGTTCTGTTCAACTCTATAAGTTAACCTTAAATTGTTTGATAAATGTTGATGATTTGCAAGAGTAACGAGAGAGTCATATAGTACATAATCAATGGTTAGAATATCTTTTTTGTAAGAACATACTTTGCTATTTCATTGAAAAAGAAGTTAACTCGAGATTTTCACTATGCCTCTCAATAAAATTGAGAGGCATAGTGAAAATCTCGAGTTAACTTTTGAGGCACTTAGATATTTTTACCACCAAGCAGTAATATATAACCATTTCTGCGTTCCGGTTTCGAAGGGTAACTAGTGCTGGCGAAACTACAGGCAGACTTGACAATTTGGGGGATAATCGTAGCGGTAATACACCCTCACATCTTTGCGATTTGAAACTGAGTAGCTTATTGCAAGTGTTATGGCTAGGCGTGTCACAAACCACCAAGCGTTCGACTTGTTCGTCCCGTCTCTTGATATTATAAAAAAAAAGTAACGCAGGTACAGCCAGCAAGTAAACGGCATAGTAACCTATAGACAATTTACCTGTTCCATTATATCAATATTGTCCCTGAATTGTATAGTTCCGGTTGGGGGTTTTTTCGGCAATTTCACTGCTATTGTTTCAGTCCCAGGATTGTTGCTACAAGAAAATTTTATTATGTAGATACAGCTTTTACAGTTAGATAACCATGTGTTAGGTGTATGAGAGGCAGGCGGGGAGAGGTCAGAAATGTTATACTTACTTAAATAAGCCAGTTGTTGACTAAGGACAGAATTGCGGCCGTGAATATGGGCGAAGGAATAAAGTCAACGACCTTAACCCATTCTTGCCCGCCGTGCCAATTTGAGAACACTTATATTGTTCTTGAGAACTGCTTTCCCAGTTCCAAAAACCGGTTAAAGAATTTTAGTAGCAGTAGGTAAAGCTCCTCGTGAATGAGTTCGTCCAGCAAAGTACTGCCAACTTATCTATTTTTGCTGCCAAGCAGTAATGTGAGCATTACCTACAGCGTTTGGGTTTTGAAGGGTAACGATGCTGGCGAAATTATTAGTACATGGGACTTGTCAACTTAATATGTTTCAGAGTCATGAGCGCAGTGGCAGTGCCCCTCATATCTTTGTGAGTTATAGCTCTGAGTGGTTGCACCACCAGGCGCACGATTTGTTTGTCCTATCACTTGGTATCCTTAAAAAAGAATGATGATGGTGATGATGAAATGAAATTAAATTTCCAAATTTATTATGTTCTTGGTAATGTTCACATGACCATATTATCAACAACTCATACAGTTTAAGATCAGATAATGTAAATTTAACGTTTCAGGGTGACGCTCGGCGGTGGCGGTGCCCCTTAGATTTTTGCGATTTAAAGCTCTGAAGGGTACTGTATCTGGATGGGCGTATCGCTTACCACCAAGAGCATGACTTGTTCGTCCCGTCGCTTGAAAAAAAAGAAATTAAACAATGAAAATTTCACCAACCTTACGAAATTTAGCCCCTGAATTTTTTCATCCCAAGTCCAATGTCCGCCTTCATAGATCCTCATACTTTCTTCATCATCTTCATCGGTATCACACATTTGTTCTGTCATCAAAGTAAACGTTCATTATAAATAGAAACTAAAGTCGGTAGCATCGGTAAGTATAAATCCTGGGCTCGTAGTCAGGTTTGACTCTCTGGTCCACAGAATATTTTTTTATTTCTGTCCCAGAACTCTCTTCTGTGCGTGATTCCGACTAGCACTAAATCGATTAGATTAACTAAAAATTAAAACTGCTAGAAGAATGGCTCCTTAACTCACCGTAATAATCCATTGTTACAGAGTCCATTGTTCAATAAATTCTGTTACTGCTTTTGCACGAAAACTTAAGAAACCATCACAATAATTATATTGTAACCTAAATATTGTCTATATAGTAGGTATATCAAAATTAATCTAAAATTAATATTAATTCAAGCAATTTGAAAAGCCTGATTTGTAAATATGAGTAAAATTTTTGGCATGCAAGTAATCTTCAAATGCTAAACAAAGCCACATTGATTGTGCATAGAAAATTATGCCACTTTCAAGTTCAAGGTTCACTAGTTTTAAAATAGCTTTAAAAAGTTTTAAAACCTTGAATATACATTTTCTTTTACATTTAGCCGGGAAATTACGAAACAAAAAATCTAAAAGGTCAAACTAAGTAATGATTTAGACACATTTAAAGTGGTCAATTTTATCTGAACGCCCAGTGCCCATAATAAACAAATAAATGAAAAATCGACCTCAAATTGTGGAATTACATCTATTTGTCAAGTTTTATTGAATTTGGTTAACGGAAACTGGGTGAAATCCAAATTAAAAAAAATTAAATTTGAATGAGACAACTAATGAGGCACTTTTCCATTTTCCGTCAAAAAAAAGAAACCACACATAGACAACTACAAATTACACCCAAACTACTAATACTAAACTAATATATACATATAAATATGCCGTATATATATATATATATACGGCCTACATGTTTATATATATATATATTTTTTCTCCCGGCCCGGGAATCGAAACCGGGACCTCTGAGTGGCAGATCGGCATGATATAAAAATCGAAATCGGTTCACAAATGTCGGAGTAATATAGTACAATACACAAAAAATACAGTTGAATTGAGAATATATATGACGTTAGAGTTAAGCTGAGGCTAGTTAATGGTTTAGTCCCTAAAAACTTCTCGGTATTGAAAAGCAGTTTTTATGGCATAATATTAATAAACAGGTCTCATTAACTACTTTGAGAACTTTAATATTCTCATATATTCCTAATTCGGTTAGACGTCGAAAATCCACAGAGGCTACATTCTTCCTGAACAATAAGATAAAATAAAAAGACAACGGTTTTTCTTGATCCAAAAAAAATTTTCTAACTTACTCTTACCTCCCTCCCGGTCTCCCATGCCATCCTCAAAAGTAACGTTACGTTGTTAATGTATACAAATGACTTAATAATTGAATTCTAAATAAGAGAATGTTCGCAATTTTACTATAAAGTCGATACTGCATTAGAGTGTCCAGGCTCGACTTGGGGCTCGAGTTACAAAAGTATCTAATGGACTCCAATATAACATTCTTACGCATATTTATTAAAAATAATTATAGGTTTATCTCGCTGGCTACTATATTTGAGAAGGTGTACGACGGTGTTCTTGATATGCATTTCAATAAACACTTATTCCCCGTTCACACGGCATTGCACTGCACGTTTTTTTTTGCCGTATTCGATGTGCGTTTGTATGTATGTGCGTTTTTTTGCAGGACAAATACCGTGTGAACCACAGGTGTGAACGGTTCTATATCTAATGTATGCGCCACTATTTGTTCGGTTCGGATTTATACTGTAAAAAACGTGCAGTGCAACGCGGTGTGAACGGGGGCTTGCAATTGCATGATAACCAGTTCGGAATTAGACCTAAATTATCAACAGAAAATGCAATTATGCCTCAAGCGTACTGTTAATTACTACATTAGCCGACAACAGCGGCGGATTTGCCCTAAGGCCCAGTAGGCCCGGGCCTAGGGCGGCCAATCGAGACAAAAAATTCACTGAGGACTGATGATAACTAGAAATAACTCAAAGTACCTAAATATTCTAAAGGCTCACGCACATTATGGCGGGCCGTATTGCACCGCATCGTATAACAATAATCTGTCTAAATCACCTTCGTACATTTTATGTCTAAAATATAGATTTGTTACATATCTGTAATGTAATGTATAATCACTACATCACTACGCCTGTCTGTCTGATTGCGATAAACTCAAAAACTACTGAACGGACGCTGGTACTGACTACATGGCCTAGGACCTAGACCAGCCAAGATTGCAAATCCGCCACTGGCCGACAATTGAGGGCGTTCGACCTGGTCTCCTGTGACATGTTATGGAACAAAATTAAAGGACGCACATATCCCGCCCGAAATTATTAACATCTTAAAATACTGGTATGAGGGTCAGATAAACAATATTCGATGGACAGAAAACGAAACGAAAATGAAAATGATTTCGACAATGATTTGTCGAAATCATTTTCTTTGGAGTGTGGAGTGAGACAGGGGGGTTGATGTCGCCTATTCTCTTCGACATATATAGGAACGATTTGATTGACACGCTCAGCAGCACGCATATCGGCTGCCATACGTAGGGCACTCAATAAGTTTTGAGATGCTCGAAATTTAAAAATGGAACGCACCCGTATTATATGTTTTTAAAAAGCAAATTTATTTAAAAATAGATCACCAAAAGCAATTTAGCTAAATTTAAAAAAAAAAATGACATTGTTAGTCATTTTACTACAACGCTTCCCGCGCTTTTTCTTTACAATAATGGATCTTAATCGTGAACATTTGCGTGCTATGATCTTCTATGATTTTAAATGTGGTTTAACTGAACAATTGAGTTTGGAACGTTTGCAGTCAGCATTAGAGGACTCTGCTCCTTCTCGTGCAACAGTTTTTAGGTGGTTTAAGGAATTTAAAAGAGGCAAAACTAACTTTGAAGATGAACTAAGAGGCGGACGCCCGGAAACAGCAGTTACTGCAGAAAATGTGTGGACATCTGAAATGTTGGTGCGAGAAGACCCACGAATCACGTACACGAACATTGAGAAGATCCTAGGCATTAGTTCGGGAAGCGTCAATACTATCCTGCATCAACATCTTGGAGTGAGGAAGCTTTGTTGTCGATGGATCCCACGATTGCTCTCCGGTGCTGAAAAACAGGCTCGAGTGGATTGGTGACGAGAAATGCTTATACGTTTCGAAAACGGGACATCGAGACGTGTTTCAGAAATCGTTACTGGTGATGAAACATGGATCTATCAATACGATCCAGAAAGCAAGAAGCAGTCGTCGGTGTGGGTCTTCGCAGAGGGACAATTACCGACATAGTTACAAAGACCTCGAAACGTCGGCAAAAAAACGGTAGCTAGTTTTTTTTCTCGGAGCGGACATTTGTCGACGTCAATGTTAGAAAATAGTAGGTCTGTTAATTCAGAATGGTACACAACAGTAGCATTACCAAAAGTTTTCCAAGCTATGCGGGAGAGGAGACCAAAGACCGGGCTTCGGGGAATCATGCTACATTACGATAACGCCTCTTCACATACGTCCCTCAGAACAAAGGCGTTTATTGAGGAATCTGGTATAGAAATCTTAAATCACCCGCCGTACAGCCCTGACTTGGCTCCCTGCGATTTCTTTTTGTTCCCAACAGTGAAGGATAAAATCAAAGGAAAATTTTTTTTGAGTGTCGAAGAAGCAGTAGCTGCCTACGAAATGGCAATTTCAATGCTGACGGATCAAGACTGGCAAAAGTGCTTTCAGAGTTGGTTTAGACGAATGAAACTTTGTGTAGATAATGATGGAGAGTATTTTGAAAAAATGTAAAATAAATTATATTAATATGTTTGATATTTTTTCTTTATTTCAAAACTTATTGAGTGACCTACGTATTGACGGAGTATGCGTCTACATTATCAGCTATGCAGACGACTTTGTGCCGCTGAGAAAATTGGTCGCTATGTGCGAGGAATATGCAAAGGGACATGGTTTGGTTCATAATGTCAAAGAAGAGCGAGGTTATGGTCTTTGAGGAAGGAGGTCAAATTTTAAATAATGTACCTACTGTAAAATTGGAAGGTATGCCCTACAAAGTGTATATCAATTTAAGTATCTGGGATACTCAATTACAGCAGACCTCAAGGACAACGATGATATCGAGAGGGAAAGGGGTTTGCATGATGTTCTAATGAGGTAAAATTCACACTTCTCAGAGCTTATGGTATTACTTTCTACACGTGTAGCCTGTGGACTAGGTAGACCAGTGTGCTGGTTCACAATGCCCCCGAGTACAGTATAACAATGCTTTTAGGGTATTGGTGGCTCTGCCTCGATACTGTAGTACTTCGGGGATGTTCGCGTTGGCATGCGTTGATAGGTTTCTAACACGCTTGACTGTCCGTTTATGAATCACTGCTATTTCAAATGGCATTGCGTAGCGGTGATTGAATGATTGTATTTTAGATTTTTATATAATTAACATAGCTATAAGCTTTATAAGTGTGTAGGTACCTACTATAAATTATGAGTGTACGTTATTTGAAATAAACAAAAAATAAAAAAAACTAGCGAAAGCATTATAATTCTAGAAAAAGTAGATTTACTTTTTCTTAAAAGTCTCGAAGTTAGATTCGACGACTAATGGAGAAATCGTCTCCGGCCCGTGATATTAATTTATTTTATCTACACACATATCATAAACTCTCTATAACATTATATATAACATTATAGTTCAAAAACCGCCAATTACGACTAGCACAAAGGGCTTTTGAACTATAATGTTATATATTTTTTTGGCCTTTCGCGGTCAGCGTTGAAGCCAATGACAAGATAAATTAACTTCATTTAAAAACAGGGAAACCTTTTCGTATGTTAAGGAATTTTGGAAACGGATTTAGGAAAAAAACGGATCGGGAGAGGAATTTCATGTTAGGAAATTTGTAGAACAGACAATAAATAATAATAATAATAATAATATTATATTAATAATATAAGAACTGTCTAAATTTTTATATTGTTTTCTACAATAAAGTTACATAAATGCTTATAAATATGTGAATCATTACATGATAACAGTACCGAAATGGACGTAGGAAGAGGTATACCTGATTGGATAAGGTTTTGGAAGAGAAAGGAATAATCATATTTAGGGCAGTTTGAAAATATGTGGTCCAAATCTCCAACTTGGCCACATTCGCATAAATCACTATTAACGATGTTCAATTTCGCAAGGTGTGCAGGAGTACAAACATGACCCAACCGCATACGAATCAAAACAGATGTAGTCAATCTATTAAATTTAAGTGATGAAAACCATGGTTTTACAGGAATAGAAGGTTGAATGTAAGCATAAGATTTACCTTTTAATTTACTGCTTTCAGACCACATCACACCCCAATCATGTCTAAGGAAATGTATAGGAAGGGTTGCCAAATCGTGATTATAATTTTTATAGTACGCCGTGTCCCCGTCAACAGCAGCATCATTTGCGAGCTGATCAGCACGATCATTTCCATGAATACCAGAATGACTCGGTATCCAGGAGAAAACTACAGACAAGCCTTTCGAAGAGCAAGCTAACAACAAATTTCTAATTTCGAGTATAATTGGACAAAGCATTCGCGTTTTAAAAGGAAATCTAGACAGTGCCTGAAGAGCACTCATAGAGTCGGAAAATATTACAGTATTTCTTAGCTTAGCTAAGAGAACGTACTCGACTGACTTGTATAAACCGAAACACTCTCCAGTAAAAACAGAAGTTTCTGGAGGCAATTTAATTTTTTGAACAATGTTATATTGTTGATGATACACACCAACGCCAACAACACTGTCGCTGCCATGCTTAGAGGCATCACTAAAAATGCAGTGCCACGATTGGAAGTCCCTGTCTCTAATGAAATTGAAAGTATGGGAGTTTTCAATAGAATTCTTATTGATACCTAAAGACAAACGGATGTCCAGAGATAAAACTAAAGCCTCGTATTTAGTAGAGAAAAGAGGCAAACAAAGGGAGTTATGAATTGGAGTTTGCAAAGACAAACACTTACGAAAACTAATAACCAGACAAGGAAGAGACTTATGAGTCCAATAAGGAGATGTTGATGCGTCAGTTGAGAGGCGTCGAAGTCGTAACAAAAGAGGATGTTTTGTAAATTGCACGCAACGGAGCAGATATTTATCGGATAAGTATTGACGTCTCAATTGAAGAGGAGGTTCCACACACTCGACTTGCAACGCATTGATAGGACTCGACTTCATTGCTCCCAGAATAATTCTTAAAGCTTTAGATTGCACTCTATCAATTTTTTTAAATGCCGATGAGTAACATGGGTCAAGAATAAAAGATGCATAATCAAAAAGACTCCTAATAAGTGAATTATATAATAATTTCAAACAAAAAGAATGTGCTCCCCACCAAACACCCGTTAAACATTTGATAATATTCAGGTTTTTCTCACATTTAGCTACGATGTAATCTGAGTGTGGAATACCAGTAAGCTTGGAATCTAAAATAACCCCCAAAAATTTAGTTTGAGGTACAAAGGAAAGAGGAATATTATTATAAACCACATTAGGTATTGGTGGATTACGTTTTCTAGAAAATAAGACAACAGTGCTTTTGGGAATGGAAAGTTCAAGGCCATTTGTATCTAGCCAACGTTTCAAATGTTGAAGAGACTGTGTCATTGAGTAAGATGCTTTTTGAACACAACCGTTTACATTGTACAGCAAAAGATCGTCAGCGTATTGAAGAATTTTAACAGAATTATTAAGTGAGGACTCTAAGTCATGTGTATATATATTATAAAGAATAGGGCTAAGAACAGAGCCTTGGGGAAGACCCTTCCATACATAACGAGTTAACTTAGCGCCATCCTGAAGATGTAAATTGATATATCTTTCAGACAACATATTTATGATAAAAGAAGATAACATTACGGGAATTCGTAAATCATATAATTTCTTTTGAAGCAGAGAAATTAAGACATTATCATATGCTGCACTGATATCCAAAAAAGCCGATAAAACAGATTCATTATTTGTAAAAGCCAAACGGATATCCATCACAAATATACTAATATTATCAAATGTGCTTTTACCTTTTCTAAATCCAAATTGGCTTGACGCCAACAAACCATTGCTTTCAACAAACCATTCCAAACGGTTTTTAACCAAGTGTTCAGCTAACTTTAAAAGTACGGATGAAAGAGCTATAGGACGAAAAGAGGAAGCATCCGACGCTAACTTGCCAGGTTTTAAGATTGGTATTATAGATTGATATTTCCATGATTTAGGGATGTTACCTGACAACATAACTGAGTTTACTATATCCAAAAAGTATTTAAGGGTCCTGTCGTTACAATTTATGAAAAATGAATATGGGATGCCGTCTTCACCTGGAGATGAATCCTTAACGAGAGAAAGCACACCTTTCAATTCGTTTAAAGAAAAGGGAGAATTAAGGACAGGGTGGTCTCCGGAGGAAAAAGAAGGAACAGAGCAAGTCATTAAATTAGGAGCTGAAGCTGGAGCCAACTTATCCAAAAATTTATTTGCTAATTCAGATGGAAAATTGGGAGTTGATGAAGAATTAAATGCGCTTCGAAACCTTCTAATTTTTTCCCAGACAAAGACGGGACTAACGTCAGGAGATATAGATTCACAGAACTTCTTCCATCCATCAAATTTCTTTTTTTTTAAAAGCTTACGGGTGTTACGTGCGACTTGTGAATAAATTTCAAAATTTTCAGAAGTCATGCACTGACCATAAATTCTTTCAGCTTCCTTCCGTCTCTTGATAGCCTCAGTGCATTCACAATCCCACCAAGGAGGCAATGGAAGTCTATCTGGATAACCTTTTTTAATGGGAAACAATTCATCTGCAACTTCAAGAAGCATTTTAACAAGAGAATCTGAACAATGAGATTCATCATGAGTAGAAACAGATGGAAGTGAAGAAGTTCTATTTTCAACCCGCTGAGAAAATACAGTCCAGTCATGAGGAAATCTATACTTTATGCGGGGACTGGGTTTTTGTGTAGGCATATGGCGAATAAAAGGAAATGAAATTATAATAGGAATGTGGTCACTACCACAGGAAGAAGTATGCAAATGCCATGAGAGCGAGGATGCTAAATCAGGCGTGGATACAGAGAGATCAGGTGCACTTAATCCTTCACCTGGACCTGTGAGACGCGTAGGAGCGCCATTATTCAAAATACAGAGATTTTGAGAGTCAAGTATATCTAACATTAAGTCTCCAAAACTATTACATGAAGAGCTTCCCCATGATTGATGATGACAGTTAAAATCGCCTAATGCTAAAAAAGGTTTTGGTAAAACTGAAAATAAATTGTTGACTTCATTAAATAAAGCTGTTGAAGGATGTGGAATGTAAATAGATACGAAACATATACCATTCACAATTATTGCTATAGCATCTATGCCATCACTTAAAGTGGGTAATTGTAAGAGTTGGTAAGATAAAGAATTTTTAATGATTATGGCGACACCGCCATACCCATCAGATCTGTCTTTTCTAAGGGTGGAATAACCAGTTACTTTGAAAGGATAGCCAGGTTTCAACCATGTTTCTGAAAGACAAAGCATAAAGGGATGAAGTGCATTTATTAAATAAAAAATGTCAGATTTTTTACTGGAGGCACTTCTACAGTTCCACTGTAGAATTACTGGGTCCATATTCAGGACGAATTAAAACAGAATTTTCAATAACATTGGCAACGTAGGACGGTTCAAATTTAGTCTGAATCATATTTGATTTAGTCAAGAAATTTACAATGGCTATAATAATGTCCGAGATAGATGTCTGTGAACTAGTATCAGAAGAGGCTTTAAGTGCTGAACCATTAGGAAAAGCTAAAGGTATGTTGTAATCCTTTGCAAATGAATCATGTGCAGCACGATCATACCCACCCGCTACTTTAGGAGGGGACCGTGGTTGAACAAACACTGTTTTTTTATAAGATTTATTAGTTGAATGAGCCTCTGCTGAAACTGTGTAGTTATTGTTCAGCCTACTATCATTAGATTTTTGTTGAGAGGAGCGAACTGCATCAGCAAAAGATCTTGAAATTGGAGGGTGATGTTTTGATGCTTCGGAATATGATATACTACTTTGGGCCATGGACACTTTAATTTCTTTTTGACGGGCAAATTCAGGACAGGATTTGCTATTTGCAAAATGGAATCCAGAACATAGGCAACAAGAAGCATAATCTACATGTACTGAGCAGGTTTCAGCAGTATGGTCTTCACCACATTTTAGGCAACGGGGTTTGGATCTACACTGCATTTTGGTATGACCATAACGGCAACAACGATAACATTGTATTGTAGGATATATATACAGTTCAACAGATAAAGCAGTATAGCACATATAAATGCGCTTTGGTAAAACTTGTCCATCAAAGGTGAAAATTACAGTTTCCGAGTTATTAAATATCGCAGTCCCACTTACAATAGTTTTCCGCTTGATACGTCTAACTTTAATAATTTTACCGCACCCAATAGGCACTGAAACATTTTCAAGAACTTCATCATCTGTCCAATCGGCAGGGACACCACGCACTACTCCCATACGAGTCACATTGAAAGTAGGAATAAAAGCTTTAAATTTGTGACTGGCAAGACTGGGGTCATCAACAAAGTTATTCGCATCAGCAACACTAGAGAAAGCCAAACTAAGCCTGTTGCGACCTATTCTTTTCAAACTTCCGTTTACAATGTTTTTAACAGAGTTCTTTTTTAAAAAGTTTCCAAACTGCACAGGATGGAGCGTAACACGATCATCAGCTGTACTTTGTTCTTTCTGGACATGTACTACGTATGGGGCTAAATCTGTCACTTCATACTTCCTACCACCCTGCGGCCTTGAATTTGAAACAGAATCACCAACATTTGTTACAACATTGTTAGTACTATTATTAGCACCAACAATGCTAGCATTGGCATCAGCAACAATAGGCAATTTAAATTTCTTGGAACATTCTTCTTCAGATTCAGAACATTGACAATAGTGTAAAGAGACTGGTTTGCCATCTCTTTTCCTACGTTTTTTATTACAATGACGGCAGATTTTCCGGGGTTTAACTCTTTTACGGTCAGGCATAGGAAGGCTGCCTTCAGTGTCCATTGATGAGTCGTCAATAACAACATTATAGGCTACTGGAGGCCCAGAGCCTCCTCCTGGGTCATCAGGGGGATCGACCCCCATATTAAAGAAAGACTCACTTACCTATATACGAACACTATACACTAATTACAAAAAATATTACATAAACTATAACTAAAAGAAAGAGTAAATACAAAAATTTACACAAATAACTCTAACGATCCCAAATTAAATTAATTTGAAAATAAGAAAGTAAAAAACACGTCCGCCAAATCAAAGGTTTCCCGCGCTTTTTTCAGCACAAAGGTTAAAAACCGTTTTGTTAGAACAAATTTATTATCTGTGAAAATGTTATTTTTGCTTCATAATAACATCGAATTCGATGTTATTATTATTATTATTATTTACATTCAAATTTCGAATATCTCTGAAAAACAAAACAATTTAATTTGACCTCAATTCTAATAGGTATCAGTCGAGATGAAGTTTTATTCGAAATGAAATGTCAATAGCAAAGTCTAAGCTTGATATCGAACGATGTGATAGTTGGGACCGATTCTAGTTTATCTATGAATTAAAAATAATAGCTACGGTTGTGTGATATGCGTGAGAAAAGTTTTTATTTGCCGCCATTTCGCCAGTTGTAACATGCGTTTCCTGAACACATCGCAGAGAGCATATAATATGTGTGTAGATAGAGTAGTATATGTAACTGTACATAATTTGAACTCAACGTTGTTTAATTTGAAATTGAAAAATAGAATGACTTCAATCGTCTTTTTTTTATTAATAATTCTGGCTTGGATATAAGTCCTTTGAGCCATGTCTTCGTTTAATTATGTTTCTGTAAATATGGCCGCCACAAAGAGGATAGGCAATTTGAGGCTTGGATTGACTCGGGATTCCTTAGAACGGGCCGATACGGGTATTTTAGTTCGAGATTCGTATAATTTCGCGTTTTAATCTTCGATTAAGGAACAATAGCACTATCCTATTCCACTTTAAACTAGATTTCACAAAATAATTGAAAGTTAAAATAAAAACGATATTTTTCCCTCCAAAAGGCCCAGAGCGAATCCACTTCAATCGTCTTTTGATTAAACGTTATAGTGATGTGACTAGTGGTTCATATCACGGGTCATAAGAACGTTGTTGTCCACTTTTTTGTTAGCGTTCCTCTAAATATGTAAATAAAGTATTCTATAAGTATATTGTATTCTACACTCGCAGAAAAAGTTTTTAATTTCCTACTTCTTATACATTTGCAATATTGTCCGCATTTGAATGAATGAATGAATGAAATATTCTTTATTGCCATTGACTTATTTATTGCACATAAAATTACAATTAAAATACAATACAATAGCTTAAGTATAATAGTAGTAGTAAGTCAATGTGCAACAGGCGGCCTTATTGCTATGTAGCAATTTCTTCCAGGCAACCTTAGGATAGACATTTCGGATATGCAAAAGGGGTGCAACCAAAGATTATCATCATAAGTACACTACATAATAATTAATAATAAAAATATATACATATCCATAGATAGATATACATATATGTACATACAAATAACAATAATATGATTAATACATATACAATAAATACACAATAATATTAAATGCTTATCTACTTTTAATAACTTTGGATATCGTAGACTTACTTTATGAATACTGATATTGGCGATGATCGCCATAATTTTTATATTATTCTTATAAAACTGTCACTGGCCCAAGCCTAGTGGCCGCCATCTATAGGAACGCTTACCGCGAAGAGCGGAAAGAAATAAGAAAAAAAAAAACAATAATACGTGTTTGACACGTAATGTGATGGAACATCTGCATGCATTGGGAATTATTTTCGATGATCCTATAATTTTGCTACTAGTTTTCATTTGTATACAAATAGATTTGCTGAATAGCTTTTGAGAAATGGGCCACGATGATGACGATGATGAGGAAAGTTTCGGTGGTCTGTACGAAGATGGGCATTGGGTATGGGACGATAGTGTAGGGGCATTGATTTTCGTCAGGTTTGTATAAAATTAAATGGTCCTTAAAATGGGGAAACCAAAAGTATCCCCACAGCAGTACAAAGTAATAAAATAACTCATTTGTATGAGTGAAGGAAGTGAAGAAACGGTAGATGGGTAATTTTATGGTTTGTTTTCTCTACCTAATACCGGTGGTAAGTTCTATTATTTAAATATTGTAAAGTATTATCATAAAGTATTATTTAATACTTAAGTGTAGTTACCAGAAATATTACTTATTCAATATTTCGCCATAATTTATTCGAATACATTGCCACCTACATTGGACTCAAGTAAAGAAAACTAACCTGAAAATTACCCAGATGTAATATACTTATTAAAGTTATGATAAGCGTAGGGCAATTGTACGATGAATTCTAAGTACGTACCAAATGTTTAAATTTATGTTTGAAGCATACATTTAGTTTCACAGGTGCGTGTGGTCGTTTTTTATTTCAGAACTCAAATTTACTTTGCGGCGCAACGGAATGGAATGGAAGCGTTAATTTCGAGAATGCTCGAGCATTCCAGCAACCTCGCCTTGAGGCTGTAGCATTTCGTCGACGTTTGACGTCACACTGCCTTCGCGCCTCTTCCCGCGGATTCGCCAGGCGTGGTCGACGGCAGCTGCGGTTTCCTCGCGAATGCGCGAGCATTCTCGTTCAGGCATGCGTGATTTTTGGCTCGTATCTAGTTTGTACGTTACAATATCGAGTGCTTCGCAAAAACTGCTGCCAGAAAACTAGGTATAGTTTACAGTATAGGTAAGGCGGTACTTCACACCTGAACAGCTTTTAAATCTGTATAAAGCACAAGTTCGATCGTGTACGGAGTACTGCTGCCACCTTTGGGACGGCTCTGCCCATTACCAGTTAGCTGCCTTGGACTCGGTGGAGCGAAAAGCAAAGAGACTTATTAACAATAATTCTCTTGTGGAGTCGAAGCTACAAAGTCTCGACCATCGCAGAAGAATAGCCTGCTTGTCGGTTTTCTATCGGATACATTTCGGGGAGTGTACGCAGGAACTTTTCAATTTAGTTCCACCCTCACCATTCCTCCTTCGGTCGAATAGAAGGTCCGCAGCACTCCATTTTTATGTCGTTGATATTCCACCTATTCGCACTAAGCGCTGTGCTTCCTCCTTTCTGATGCGTACGGCAAAGGAATGGAATGCTCTACGGCATCTGATTTCCCGAAAAGTACAATTTGGGGCTATTCAAGGCTAGAGTGAATAGGCATTTTTTAGGCAAACGCGTCCCATCGTCGCTTAACATCAGGTGAGATTGTGGCCAAGCGTGTGTCTATTATATATTAAAAAAAAACTACTGATCATAACGTTCATTACGCTATGTACGATATGGTTACAAAAATTAGCTTCCCTTCCGTTGCGCCGCATTATAAATTGAGCATAAGTAGTAATTCTCAATACAATATTGTAATAAATGATCATTTGGGATAAGATCTATAACTATAGATCTTTTATAATAAATATCCCAAATGATCATTTGATCCCAAATGATCATGATCCACGACTCGACTTTTTGATAAAATGTATGCTAGTGGCATTGACTTACAATTATATGGACGTCGGGTCCGCGCTAAAAAGTGTCCGAACTTATAGGGCGTTAAAATCGTATATAGAGCGTCATTCACGCTTTAGTCTTCGTTTGTTCGACTGACAGCGAAGCAAGCAAAATTAGACAGTACTGCGATGACATTACAATTTAAATTGAACGTTTTAGCTTTTTCATATTCCTTTACATGTCACTACGTTTATATAGGTTGACTTGGGACATTTTTTTCGTGGTTTGTGCATTAGACCCGTCGTCCATTTATTTGTAAGTCAATGGCTAGCGGTCAAATATATGAAAATTTTATGTATTACCTGCAGCGATCGCCCGGCTATAGTAACTGATGCAATTCCATTACCGATTAAGGCTCCAACTGGCACCATAGAATTTCGAGATGATATTGATTTAATAGAACAGGTAATATCGTAATTTCAGAGGATTTTCTACCAACGTGTGTTAATCGTGAGCTTGTTTGACTTATTTATGTTTTGTAATTCCAGTTGCGGTTCCGTAAACGTTACATGAGGAAACTGAAGCCAGGAGAACCTGATGTTATCACGGTCCAGGTAGAAAAAACATGTAATTTCGTATTCTGGCCTCCTTATCATAACTAAAGCATTCATTTTTGCTTTTGCATTTCGGTAATTTTCGAGATATTGGCACCTAAAGTTTCCTAGACACTAAAAACTGTCAATTACGGTGATTTTTAACAATAAAATTGAAATATTGAGTTTATTGAATAGCACGATGTTTTACTACCATGATATTCAATTCTTTTTGTGAAACAACTTCATTAGTTTGTTATAATTATTAATACTAGCATTTATGATTCAGCATATCGTTCAGACACGATATGCTTAAGGCGCTCGTTCCAATCCAGCCGGATCGAAGGAATTTTTCTTAGTGTTCCATCTTTGTATAAATATACGTCTCACTGCTGGGCATGGGTCTCCTCTCAAACGAGGTTTTAGGCCATAGTCCGCCAGGTTGGCTCAATGCCGGTTGGGGACTTCACGTTGTTGTGAACCTTCTTCGACGATGTTTTCCTTCACCGCAAAGTCGTGATAGCTTAAGCTCAACTCACACTGGCGCAGAGTCGATGCGTCGCGTTGCGTCCTGTTTTTCAACGGCAACGCCGACACTCGCATTAGTGCGCCCGGATCACGGTGTGGTCGGCGTCTGATGCCTTAGTGCGCTCTAGTAACGCGGGTCGACGCTTGACTCCATATTTGTATAATACAAATTTATACCTTAATAATGGGAAAATAGAGATGAATATGCTATAGGCGAAAAATGTGACGCGTCGCGACGCTTCTACTCTGCGCCAATGTGAGTTGAGTCTTAAGCTAACACGGCTTTTTTTCTTCATATTAAGTATATATTAATAACAATAAAACTGAAAATAAATAGGATAAAAAAAATCCGCTTTTAAGGGGTTGTAAATTTCGTTTCGTTGATCCCAGATATATTAATAACTCAATTTCGCCAAAAATGTCGATTATATTGTGATAAGGATTGCCCAGTATTGGTATTTTTGTAAAATATATATTTTGTATTGTTTTCCAGGACGTCAAAGATTTGGCTATATACACTGCACCTCTTACGCTCATGAGTCCTATGTTAATAGATATGTTACATTTATCTACCACGGAAAGATTCATTAGAGCGTTGATTTTTTATTGTCAATATTATTTGCAGGTATGTTTTATGTTTTTTCAACGATCCACCAAAAAAAAGCAAAAAAACGATTTATTGTAGATAAATTATAGCCCATTTTGCTAGAAAAACAAATTTATCTTATTTTATTGTTACTGTAAAAAGATATACAGCTTATGAACAAATAATCTCAGTACGGAGTACCTACCAGAAAAACCAACCTCAAGAGTTCGCAGAATTACGTCTATTTGCCAAGATTTATTGAAATCGGTTACCGGAAAGTGTGCGAAACCAAATTCATCTCTTAGTTTGCCACGTTTAGAGGTGGAATATTTTCTTCAAATTTAAAACAGACCAATACTGAGGTTACCCCCTTTCCAACAAAAAAATAAATCATGTAAATTGATACACAAATATCATAGTTATCGCGTAACGTACGTACTAATAAAATACAGTGGAATTGAGAACCCTTTTTTTGAAGTCAGTTAAAAATAAATAATTGAATTAGGGGTCAGATACTACATGATACTTGCTAAAATCACCGAGCTCCTAAGACGTAAAGTTCGGTGAACTCAGCAAGCAGATCAGAGTCCATTCTATCCCCTATTACTTTGAGAACTCTATTTGAGCTCTCTCGCACTTTACGCAGGCAGGATGCCACCTTTTTTCGCATTAGTGCGTAAAAATCCTTTACACTGGCATCGGCACACATGTTTGACGTATGTAGGGCAGTGGTGAGTAAAACTCAAACAGAGCCTTGAACACATTGTTATATAAAACGCGTAGGGAGTTGTAGGCACTCTGAGTAATGCTGACGTGCCATAGAGGTGTAGAATGCCAGGCACTAACCTATGAGCCAGCACATTACCCGGCACCGATAAAGCCCTGCATTCCCTTTCTGTGTCTAATTTGTTATATAAGTTTTCCGTAACTATTGTGCCCATACAATTATATACGTAGATAAAATTATTTACTTGGTTTTATAGTTAACAATTACGAAGATTTTTACTTACTGTTTAGTAAAAGTACCGTTTGTTATTTTATGATATGAAGTGACCTACAAGTCGTGCGCCTGATGGTAAGCGACACACCTGTCCATAACAGTTGCAATGCCGCTCAGTGCTTTAATTCACAAAGATATAAAGTTCAATAGCAGTACAGCTCTTTACGTATTTCTGCCGCCAAGCAGTAACATCAGCATTACTGTGTTCCGGTTTTGAAGGGTAGGGGAGCTGGTGAAATTACAGGCACATGGGACTTGTCAATTTATGTGTCAGGGTGACGGGCGCAATGGTAGTGCCCCTCAGATCTTTGCATTTAAAGCTCTGACTGGCACTGTAACTGTTATGGACAGGCGTGTAGCTTACCATCAGGCGCACGACTTGTTCGTCCCTTCACTTGATGTTATAAAAAAAGAAGATCTGAGTGGTACTGCCACTGCGCCTATCATTCCGAGACATAAGTTGACAAGTCCCATATACCTATTATTTCACCAGCACCCTTAGGCTAGTAACAGATTGATTGCATGTTTGCAGTCGAAACCGACTTTATGCAGCCGACTGCATGAAGTTAATACGTGAATTCGTTATCGACTTCATGCAATCGTGGTCTCGGCTCGGCAGAGATTGACTGCGTGTTTGCATTAACTGTAAACATGCAGTCAATCTGTTAGCAGCTTCCCTTCAAAACCAGAACATAGTAATGCTCACATTACTGCTTGACGGCAGAAATACGTGAGGTGGTAGTAATTACCTGAACGAATTATTAAAAATCTTCTGTTTGTTTTTTAGACGACTGATATTATGGGTTTTCGTATGTTAGAACTAGAAACTAAAGTCCGGACACCGCAAAGCGAAGAAGTGGAGAGAGTGTTCCGAGAAAATTTAAGTGATTTAAGGACTTTAGTTGCCAAGGAATACTGCACTATGATAATAGGTACATATAAAACCATGACGCGCTTAAGTATTGTGATATTCGACAATGTCGATACTTTACAAAATCACCTGCATCACTGCAAAAAACTTTCAATCACAATTCCAAATTCTGAAATTTTGATGTGACATACATTCAAAAATCATCTGAGTCGTGAAGCTCTGGGTCTTGGCTGTGGGATATGTCCTACCTCTTAAACCTTTGTTCAGTTGGTTTCGATCTACCTAATTGAGCTGATCGATTAGCTGTAAATGCACACACAACGGCTCGTCATAGTCATTAATTAGACTGATTATGTTCGAATCACCACCAAAACATTGAGTTGACATGTTTTTTATTGTAGATATTTTCTCATTCGATGGATTTATTTGTTTTATCAACACGACTAGCATGTTCTTGAATTGTAAGCAACTTTATGACGTGGATCGTTTCTTAGGTGGTGCCGATACCAAAAAGTTCCACCATATGGGTGCGCAGAAGAAAAGAAAGTCATTGTCAGATAAAGACGCGCGACTCTTCGAAACGTTGTTGCGTATGTGCATTCAGATCGTGTGGCTGGCTTTAGGTCGCAGATCTTTTAATCAATTAGGTACTTACTTCATCGTAATATAAATAATACTCAATATTGTTTTGATGCCTACATAATTTTTAATAGATTTGCACATTTTTAGAGTTGGAAGTGAATCGTCTATTCAAGTCAGATATTTTTAACTCTGTCGAGCATATGAAACCTTCCAACAGTAAAATGACGAAGGAGGAAAGAGATGTTCTCCTTGGATGCTGCTTGCGACACGATCAGAAATTGAATACACGCTCGCCGCTTATGAATGAAGTCTTTTGTGCACGTCCTATAGACTACCGCATGATGGGTTTAGGTGTCATCAAATACGAAATGTAAGATTTGAAAGTGTATTTCAATTTAAGAGTTTAATTTGTTTGTCTAGAAAACAATTGATTTTAATGCCATTTGTTGGTGGTCATACTAGCATGTCATGATATGATCAATAAGAATTGTTTGCGTTGGTGATCATATTTAGTCAGCATTAACACCCTGCAGGCAAAATTAAATGTATAAATCGCAAAGATGAGCGCTATTGCTGTACAATGGCAGACAATTTTATAAGCAACGGTGTTATAAAAACTGAGACTCTAAATGGAACAGTTATAAAGTTAAAAGCGAAAAGTGTAGAGGATCCGTTACGCCACGAATAATTTGACAAATTCTTCAACATTTTGTATTAGAGTAGGTGATAGAAACTGGTAATTCAAACAATATCTAACTCTTTCAGAGTGCAAAGGTACAAGTACCACATAATTAAGATTAAAATTAAAAAATAACTATTTTAAGATTGCTAAGTTTGAAATAAGAGCAATATTACTTTAATGTTATAGTCGCGTCATAGTACGAACTGAGTGAATAAGTAGTCACAAAGCTGCCAATAAAACATCATAGTTTTTTATCACACATCATTATATGTGGGGCGCACTATAAGTTTTCGGAATTAATAAGAAAAAAATACTATAAATGACCAGAAATGAATTATATTATTATATTACATACTCTTCGACAGCCTCTTCAGGTGATGAAAATCGTTGACCGCGTAACTGGTTCTTAATTTTTGGAAATAAATAAAAGTCACAAGGTGCCAAGGTTGGGACTGCACGCGGGATGGTTGTATCATACGGCGTTTACGGTTATTTTTACGGAGTTTGTCAATAAGTTCCGGCAAACAAATGGTCGTGTACCAATCACTATTCACGATACAACGATTCTCCAATGCAAAAATAGCCACGTGTCCGGTTTTATTAAAATAAGAAGCAATCTTCCGCTTAGAGGCACTTTACACGCACGCCACTTTGGTTGATTTCGGCTCATCTCGAAAGACCCATACGCTTGATTGCTGCTTTGTTTTGGGATTGTAATTATAAATCTATGTTTCGTCACTTGTTACTATGTCCCACACCAGATGCCCCTTCGTTGAATCTGGTAAGCATGGTATTGCACTAATTGGCGTTATCCGTTTTTTGAGCCTCAGTCAAATTGTGTGGGATCCACCGAGAGCACCAACAAACTCAAAGTCAAAGTCAAAGATTATTTATTCCATAGGTAAAATAAATTTACACTTGAAAACGTCACATTTAATCTACTGCTCGATCACTACGCTGACCTCCCCGAGAAGAACAAGCAAGAAACTCTAGGGATTGCTCTTTTCAAATAACCTTAAATGCTATGGAATGCACTTTGAATCAAATTTGTGTGGATTCTGGAGCCGTGTCGTCTTTCCATACATCTTTATCTAACACGTAGTCTTCAATTTTGTAATATGATTTTTCGATCAAAATATTTTTAATGTAGTTTTTGAACTTAGGAAATGATAAACTTAATACATGTTCCGGAATCTTATTGTAAAAACGTATACAGTTCCCCATAAAAGAGTTGTTTACCTTGTATAAAGGAAATCGTGGTACCATGAGTTTGGACTTAGCTCTAAGGTTAATATTATGAATATCTTCTTTCTTATTGAAATTATGTATATTTTTACTGCTTTTTCACACCCAAATGTTTATGTAGTATTGATTGTATTTGACTCATGCCTATGCCTGAAGATGTCACATGCCTGTCTGTTTTGATCATACGGCGCTACGGCGGTTTTGTTGTTCACAGCAGTGGACGGGCGATCATCACGAAATTCGTCATTGAGATTCACACGATCTCGTTTGAATTCTGCAAACCAGGTATAAATAGTCGTCTTGCATGGTGCTTCATCGCCCAAAGCAGTTTGATGCCGAGCGAAGCTCCGCTGAGCTGTTAAATTACAATTAAAGTCGTAGAAAATCGAACTACGAAAATTTTCACGAGTTCAATCCATGCTGATGTAGACAACCAATTTCTAAAATGACGTCACAATGTATAAACAAGTGACAGTCAGATGAAATAAACTGTATTCTACAGCCAAAGAGTTCCATTTTCAAATGTTATAATTACTTTTCAAATACTTTTTGTGTAGGTAAGTGGCCAGTTCCGGAAACTTATAGTGCGTCCTATGCAATAAGCTTACTTTAAGCGCAATATTACATTAAGAGGTTGTGGCAGGCCCCAGTACGATATGCTACTGTGACCACCAATAAACGGCCGTTTTACTTTTCAAAAGGTTGCACCGACGACTGCTGTACATGTGGCTGGCGATTGCAGGACCAGAAGAGGAGTTGGTTAAAATTGGAGTGCCTTGCGGTATTCTTGGCTATCCACGCCCCTATTTTGATACTATGTTATGTGTTTTACCGACTGTTGCAAGTGATAAATCAAAATCAAAAGCGTACGTTTGAAAGTGAATGTGTTATCTGTAAACGTTAACTATGCTGCTTAAATCATATTATTTATTCTTATAATGCAGGGGTGGTTCTAAACAGTCGGTTCAGTCTGATAAAAGTAGAAGCAGAAGCAGCAGTGGCAGCCAAACTGCACCACCTCAAAGTTCGCTTGCCTTTGGAAAAAGTCGTTTATCAACTTCTGAAGGATCCGGAGGCAATAGGTATCTCTACACTGATATTGTCCTGCCAGAAGTGGAAACACTTTCGTGAGTGTAATTTAAATTGTTTTTTTGGTACGATACGTAAAACTGTTATAGTCGAGCCAAGATAGCATCCTCTTTTTGGCAGATATTTTTAGAGTCGTAACATAATTATCAACTTTAATTTGTATCATTAATAATAGTAAAGTACTAATTACTAATATAGTATAGGAATTTAGTAGTCTCCATACCCGCCTGAGACCACAAGGAACGGAAACAACAAGACGCATCCACTATAAATCCAAACAAGAGAAAAAGTGTCCTTTTTTATAATACTAAGTGACAGGACGAACAAATAGTAAGCAATACGCCTTAGTAATTGCTGTAACTCTCAGAGCTTTAAATCACAAAGATCTGAGGGGCACTGCCACTGCGCTCGACACCCTGGGGCATAAGTTTGACAAGTCTCTGTGCCAGGTGCCTGTTAACAAGACTATCGCACTCGTTCTGTAATGCATTATGCAATGAGTGCAACATACAGTGTTACCAAATCAAATCTTTAGTATACCCATATATGTATTGAGAATTTTCTAGTCTATTAAATAATTTATTAATATTTTATTCGTTAAAATTTACATATATTTGTAAATAATAAAGTATGTAATCTTATGAACGGTGTCTGCAATAATTGATTTGATGTTATGAATTTATTCATGTTTGTTATCGTATAAATTTTCGTTAATGGCAACATTTTTACTTAATTCCAGGGGATATATCTACCATAACAACCATACTACATTTTTTTTCCACATCTATCTTATTCATTGAGGGACATCACTAATACAAACGTAACAATGACGTATCTTAAATACAAACTATCACAACTTTATTGCAAATATTAAATTAAATTATATGTTATTGTAGTTAAATATTATATATTTAACCGAAATAAACACGTTTTTAGTGTTCACAGTGCAGATCAATTATATAATTATTCGTTTCCTATTTGACAATTATTATTAAGTTACATTCTATCGCCGCTCAGCTGTCAAAAAGAGACGGATGATTGAACGGAGACATCGTTTATACTATTACGTCACGTGACTTCCTTTTTGATCGAGGTGAATTAATGTTTTTGTTTTTTATAACCTCTAAGACCCAGTAAACTACAATAGGAAAAGCGTTAAACGCCGAATGTGCCTACATTAAAATGTATTTAGATATATTGATATGCTCCTCCAGACCCACGAAAGTTTTGTATGTTGCTCTAGATACCTTACGGACATACAGAATATACCGGGTTATTTTTAAAATACTAACAACTTCTCAGGACTATATTAGTAACATCATAAACAACAATTTTTGTTCCACGATTTTTTACAAAACATAATAAATTTACGACGACGCCCACCCCCGTCCTGCACAGAGTTATCACTGTTTATAGCGATCTATTTAAGTATTTTTATTATTGTATGAAACTAAAATGCGATGAATGATTAAAAGTCATGGGAAGAAAGTTGTTGTTTATGATTTTAGTAATACAGTCCTGGGAGGTTGTTAGAATTTTACAAATAACCCAGTATAGCGCTAAATTTGTATTATTATAAAAATCATTATAACGTACACTAGGCGTTAACGTTTCATAGAAATATTGTCTGGGTCTGAATCACATCACATAATACATTTTGATGTACACGGGGCCTTAGAAGGATAAGAAATTAATATTGAATCGAAATGGTGACAGGCAGCAGATACCAACGTCGTTCCCAGACGAACCGGAGGTGGAGAGACGCTGCAGCGAGAAACAACGCCGCCAATGGCAGAATCGTCTCCAAAGGCTAATTAACCCAAGTGCAATAAGGCATAATAAATAAATATTTTCACAATAAGTATTGTGGTTAAAAAAAAGAAAAAATCATTATATTCAATAAAATAAATATCTCCAATCCAGTTATTTTTAATTAGACTCTAAATATTAAACTATAATTAGTTAACTCCGAATATTATTAACGTGTCAAGTACAAGGTAATCCTTTAGAGGACAATTCTGCACACGAAGTTTATTTACGGCGGGATACATGCAACGAGGGTAAAACTCAATTAATTTTCGTGTTAAAATATTCTGAGCGTTATTTAAAAAATTAACTTTATATTTTAAGCCGTACAGCCTTAAAATGATAAGGTTGATTTTTACACCATAAAAGAACTAATTCTGTAAAATTGTCGTTAAATTGTAAAAAAAATTGTAAAAATTCTGAGCTCAAGAAAAACGTGAAAATTAATTAACACTTAGAATCTCATAACACTGGAATAAAGTGAAAATTAATTAATTAAGTGTCAATTAACGCTTAGAATACTCTTACAATCTCATATCTCTACATTTTAAATAATCTTCTTACATTGTCAATGAGAAAAATATTCCCGTTTTACACCTCAAAACTAAGCGGAACTGTCAACAAATAAACGCTCAAATAATTTGAAAGCCGAAAAATGGAGAGGGAAAACATTCCAAAAACAGTACAACACTTCAAATAACAGCTACTTCGATTTTAAGAGAAAATAGTATTAGAAGAGAGTAAAATAGTATTTTATACAATCGTTGCGTAATGAGGGTTTATTTAGGTGGAGTACCATGTTTAGGCCTTGATGCATTGATTGCTTGATTGCATGATTTGCTTCGGCGCCCTAGTCAGAATTATAAGACTTAATTATGTAATAATTGCATACAATAGTCATTTCGGGAAAAGATATTTTTGAGATTTGAACAATATGTTGAGTAGTACATAATGATATTCTGACTAAACCAGTTGGATGGATACTTTTTCTACGAGCAAATTCAAATAATGAAACACAGCTAATATTTAATGTATATTTTGTTAACTATCCACGACAACAAATTCAAAGGAAAGCAAAACAAACTCTACAAAACAAAAAACCAAAGAGAGACTGGAAGTGTCCGCGTGATTGGGCCTAGTACCGCTTAATATAACCAATCGGGAAGCAGTAGTGCGTTTGCGTAGCGTCATATTTGATATTTTAATTAGCAAACGTTATTTTTTTTAAACTCGTTATAGTTCTGGTTAGAAAGTACCATAGACAATAAAATTTTGGTTCAGTACTAAAAAAGAGCGCATTTGTGATACAATTTATGAAATTAATTAGAAAAGAAGAAAACGCTATTTCAGAAAATTTCTTTAAGCATATAAATTAGTGTTTTAATTGAAAGTAAATAATAATAATAATAATAATAATAATAATAATAATAAAAGAGTTAAAAAAAAAAAATCTAATCTTATCTTTTAGGCCTTGGGAGAGGCGAGAGTTTAAAATAAATACGATAATAATAAAAGAGTTTAAAATAAATACGATAATAATAATAATAAATAATAATAAATAATAAATAATTTAGGCCTTGGGAGAGGCGAGAGTTTAAAATAAATACGAAAATAATAATAATAATATTTTTTAGGCCTTGGGAGAGGCGAGAGTTTAAAATAAATACGATAATAATAATAAGTAAAGAATGTAAGGAGTTAATTTTATTTTTAATTTGATATAATTAGATTAAATAATAGGATGATACTCTAAAACGATTTTGACATCCATAACTTCTCGCGGCTAGAGTAGTTAAGGTATACAGAGGTATATTTTGCACCAAATATCGGTACCAGAAGTATCAATTAACGTAAGGGACATTTTGTCGAAAATGAGTTACATGTATCATTGGATTCATATATGTTTCCGCTCTATCGATTGGTATTATAAAATTTTATAACGCTTAGTGGTTTAAAATATAGCATGTCCCTTACATTAAAAAAAGAAATAGAAAACTCCTTTACAATAGAATTACGTGTCATTTTTTCTATTTCTCTTCATGCTTACACTATGCTCGACGGCTTACACATAAAATATTAGTAACGTAAGGCACAACTAAACATCCATATGTATACAGCAGTAAATGAAACGATTTCTATCTGAATTTTATTCGACACGAATTTCATCGCGCTGAAGCCGCGCGGCCGCCGCGCCACGCCGAGACCGCGTGGTCACCGAGCAGCGACCGCGTGCATCTGTCTCCGCGCAGCGACTGCGTTCATCTAACTGTCATGGCAAAATATGCTCTATTTATTTAGCTTTTACGTTTTAAATGAGCATGCCGGGCGCGCGATGGAGGATGGCATGTCTTTAGTCTACGCGCGTCGACCGCGCAGTTGTAATAATCCGAAAAATTTGAATGTTGTTGCCTAGTAAATAGAATTCATATTCGACATTAATGTACGTGAAAGCGGTAACTGGTCACTGGTAACTGGTCGCCACGCGAAAACTTTAGCGTCGTGTAACTGGGCGAAAACACTTCGTCAAAAAAATCATGGTCAAATCAGTCGTTCCATAATATTTAAACAAATTCATTCTAAGGGCGAGAATAGCCATTTTCTATTCCGCTTTAACGCATTAATAGCACTTGCCATAATATTCTGGGTGGACATTATGTTTACGAATCAAATGGGTGGCTCTGGTGGTACATACAATATCGTAAAGTCTTCAAACCATTTATAAAAGTCAGTGGAAATATGAAGGTTTCGGAATAAATATTATTTATACTTTTGACAGAATAATTGCTGAATAGAATATGAGTAGGTAGCCATTTACTTGTCATGTTGTAACATGCCTTCTTACGTTGAAAATGGAAGCATCACATATTCTGCGTGGATGGTTAAAGTACAAGACAGGAGTCAATTAGAAATAACCATGACGGGGATGACGGACACTTGCGTAGAGTAATGTTATTGAATTTGGGTTTTTCCGATAAGGTATTAAATATTTTTCAGGGTTCTACAGTAAATTTGAGCTGTGAGCAGTGAAATGCATTTGTCTGAAAGGCTTCCATTGTTCTTTCTTCTCCTGACTCGGACTCTCCTGACTCTTTATACGCCTCGGTGTGAACCTTTTCTTTATCTAGAAGCGTGCCTTGTTTGCCTAGAAGCGTTTTGTATCGCTTGGAAGCTAATTTACTTGCCAAGCGATTCGATCGGTTTAACCATTTCTTATGTTGCTGGCGATTGATAATCAGCGGCGGTTGTCTTTCAGATGGAAACGCGTCAGGGGGAGCAGTTCTGTTCGTAGAAAAGATATAAATTGGTTAATAGTCCATAACACATTTTATCAAAAGTATATATTATTTCACCGAACGTTCTCATTTTCTTTTATACGCTAAGCTTAACCAGAAGGGATATAGACAAAACTCGCACGCCTTTCTACTGTCTTTTCTTTGCAGACTATAGCATTAGTCAAAGAGTTAAATCAGGGGATTAAGGAAAGAGAAATTTTACCGAAGCCAAAGATTTATTTATGTAACTATACAAGAAAGGCAATACCTTTTTTCCTGGCGATAGTTAAACCAGTAATCCTGTATAGGACATACAGCAAGAGCTCTTTCATTCATTCCCTCCGTCATGTTTATAAACGTTTCTTGATATTTATTAAATCAGAGAAAAAAGAAAGATAACGGTTGAGTTGCATAGAACTCATCGAGTATATAACCAGAAATAGAGACGAAATGTCATTTAATTTGTTTGAAAACTATTCTGCCGTATCATTACTGTGACAACTGCGCTCCGATTGGCTACCCTGAGTTCGAAACAATTGACGGGTGTCGTCAATGGGTGTCGTCAACTGTTTCACTTCAAATCGACCAGTCAACTTAAGCTTTGCTATAATGGACGAAAATTGTAAAATTACGTATTTAATATTTAATTACCGATGAAATGTGATTCCGTTTGTTTTGTAATTAGGTGTTTTGCTGTTTTTCCCACACCACCGAATAGAATAGCACGGCATTGTTACAGATATTATCTTTATTACAATAAATACAGAATATTTTTTGAAATATACGGAGACGTACACACAGGTCAGTAGTTGGCCTATCTATATTTCAGTGCAAACGAGAGTTGATATTTATAAGAGCTGTATCGCTAATGTGTTATCAGGAATATATGGCCCTTATTTCGTCTCTAATTCTGGTTATATACTCGATGATAAAACTAGACAAAGAGGAAGAAAGAAAAAGACAGCCACGTATGGCTGTCTTTGTAACACACACTAGAAAACGACGTAATATAGTTGACACAAAAGCGTACCTATTTGGTCTTTAGACGACCGCCAAGATTTTAGAACTGCAGTTATAATTCTGATGGCGAATTTTAAGGCCATGAATACTCAACCATAGCCTAATAGACTATTAGTTTGATGGATATTATTATTAACTGCTAATGTCGTGCGTAGTTCTCTACAAAAACTTGAAAGAACAACTACACTGTACGTTCGATCTACTGTTTAGCACCATAGGTATTTTTCTACGAAGCTCTGTCAAATTTATACACTATATAGCCGTTGTCTTAAATTGTCTTCATTTAACATTTATGGGTGCGATGACTCTACTTTCCCAAAGGTCGTGCTTGCGCGTGTACAGACAGCACTTAGTGATGTCATCTTTGTATGAAAACTGATATTTCGGAGTAGAGATTTATTTATTTATTTATTTATTTATTTATTTATTTATTACAACTTACACTAACAGCATATAACTAAACATGTAAGTCATAGTCAATTAAAAAGTAGTCGAGTCGATTAAAAAGTAGTCGAGTCGATCACCGCCCGAAACCAATCTGCGGTATTTCGACCACAGAGCCGTGACCGCCTCCAAGTAATGTCCAGCAGATGTCAGAAATTTATGTTCAGAAGAACTGAAAACGTCGATATCATTATTCCTATTTAGAGAATCGATCACAGCTAGTGCCCCGTATAGTGGTGTCTGCTTTAGCGCCTGTGTGCGGGCGAGATGTATAGCGAACAAGGGATGTCGCCGCCGACGCAGGGGGTATCTCGACATAGGTGGGATAAAAAATGGAATTTGAGCCAACAGTTGGGGGTTGTTGAGATATCCCCTTATTAAATTAAAAATGTACTTGACAAGTGCCAGCTTTCGCCTGACTTCCAGTGATGTGTATGATACCATACCCAAAATAAATAGTGTAGGGTACAAGTAAGGGTAGTACCCGTATATTTTTTTATACAGGAATCGCAAAAATGATTTTTGGATTCGTTCAATCATTGTGATATATGTGTTAGTGTGGGGATTCCAAATTACGCAGCCAGACTCTAACTTACTTCGCACAAAGGCGTTATACAGACAACATATGGCCTCACGATGATCAAAAAACCTCGATTGTCGTTTGATGAATCCTAAACTTTTCAATGCACTATTACTAACATCAATAACTACGAGATAACTTGTTATTGAACCCGTAGTAATCTGGCAGTAATGAATTTTATATTATTTGACTTTCAACTAGTAAGAACTTACACTAGAAAATGAAATATATAGTCGTTATTAATGTGTCTAATTAATTATACACGTTAGTACTTTTTAAAAATGTAACATACTGTATATCGCCATCGGGTAAAACAATATCTCCATATGTTTTTGGCTGCAAGTTGAAAATAGTGTTTAACTGTTTTTGGTCCGTACTTGTTCTTGAAGACCTCGCACTTATTCTGGAAGAATCGGGAAATATTCACAGCATCCACAGAATTATTTTTAATATACACTAATATAAATCTAATTTTATAAAAAAAATTTTTAATATAAATCTCTTGACGTGGTATTTCTATTAATAAAACAAACTTTGTTTGTCGTATCACTTGGAAATTCACAATATTTTTTAAATCTTACAAATCGATGAAATGCTGATTCAAGATTTTGTATGAAAACTAAAAACAATTAACTGGCTTTTGATTTGTTCATTTTAACTATAGAGATTCCGTGGAAGAGCTTTTGGGCTAATTAACCTTATGTCCCTATACAACAGTAGAAATCTGTTATACTTTCGTGCTTATTCGCCAAATGATTGGTTAATTACAGGTTTCTTACCATCGTATACATAATTAGTTACAGGTTTCTTACCATCGTGTGACATCATATTATTTTTTATAATGTCAAGTGACGGAACCAACAAGTCATGCGCCTGATGGTAAGCTACACGCCTGTCCAAAACAATTGCAGTGCCACTCAAAGTTTTAAATCGCAAAGATCTGAGGGGCACTGCTACTGCGCCTATCAACCCTGAGACATAAGTTGACAAGTCCCATGTGCCTGTAATTTCACCAGCACGCCTACCCTTCAAAACCGGAACACAGTAACTCGGACTTTACTGCTTGGCGGCAGAAATAGGTGAGGTGGCAGTCGGACTCTTTCACAAGGAGCTCTACTGCTACTATGATCTTTTTATTTTTTGAAATTCGAAATGGTTACACGTCCCGCTGTTAACTAACCAGCTGTAGTTGACGGTAGTCAACTCGTGCTGAAGCTGGCCACTCATGATCATGAACAGTGTAAGTGTTCAGAAATATCGGGAAAATTATAAGAAGTTATACATTTATAAGAAACCTGTAACTGATGATATCAATTAAACTCATCACCCACTGATGGAAGCAGCGGTAATTCCATTTACCCGTCGACTCCTGCACTATTTCTTGAATTAGAATGACAAAATAGATACTTCTGGTACTTGTTCAAAATATTGATTACTATGGAATTGTTGACACGGAAATATGTAAATGGTGATGTTTTAATAACTAGTGGGAACGGTTTAATATGGATAACATAATTGAACTTACCTCGGCCCAGATAGTCGGAAGCTGGCCACAGAGGGACGTTTGCTGGCATTTCCTGGTAAATGAACACCTCGTAACAAGGCATCGAAACCCGTTCGGGGCAGGCCCATTATGCCCAATGATAACTTCATTTCTTTTAATTTCGACTCCTCGGTCATCAGCATAGTTTCCAGGTATTGTAATCGAAGGTTTAGTCTGCAATTATCATTGATATAGCAATACGTAAGTCCTGTCTTGTTTTTGATCGATCATTTTCAAGGCTGTAATTTATAATATACTCACTCTGGATATTTGACTACACCAAGTCCAAGGAGACGGTAATCTATTTCTCTGTCGCAATGAAATTCACTAAGTAAAGGCGAGTGGCTTTTCAGTTTATGGGTAGGTTGTAAACATTTGCCGAAAAAGACTTGCCGTTCACGTAACGACATTCTAGCTGCAGTATCTATTTTTGCGTGATGTGCTGCGAGATTGAATTTACTTGATCGGAATAACCGATTTACTTCAATTTCTGAAAAAGGAAACTTTTGTAAAAATATTCCTAAAAACCAAAGTAAAATGTGAATAAAATGGTTCCATATACCGATCAAATTATACCGTTTTCGACCCAATGCTATCCACACTATCTGGACACTGAGGCGTATCAATGATTCAAATAATCTTCCTTCTCGCCTTGAAAGGGAAGTCAATTTTTTTTGTTTGCCCTTGTGGTGAAAGTTTTGAAAATCAGCACCTCCTAAAATGACTGTTTTGTAATTATTTTGAATCTTAAACTTAGGTGCTATAAGATAGCATAGGCAAACGTTTATACCGAGAATCATACTACTGTACTCTTTAGTGACGAGCAAGCGTAGGTCTTGTAAATTTTCACAGAACTTCATTTCAGTCTTGTAACTCGTACACGTATAAATTTTGGTTTCCCTCTGTTCTGTCCGTTTAGCCATTATATCAGAAATCTATGTAAAAATTAAAACTCGCTATAACCAGTAGACACGTAGGTAATATGTACGTAGATAAATGACACTTTTGACAAACCTATGTAAGAGTTACACACGGTGACACTACACTACATCGCTACACTTGCGATTTATAGGCGATTGCATCGATGCAAACGCGCGACTGCATCGATACAGTCGCTAGTGTGAATAATTTTGAAAGAAAAATCTGTATAGGTTTCTGCACAATATTTTGTTTTGTTAAAATTAATAAATACATTAAAGAAATAAATTAGTTAATTAATTAAAAACGTGCATCGCGTTTGCATCGCGTTTGTATCGCGTTTGGATCGCGTTTGCATGGCTGATAAAAGTCGCCGTGTGTAATCGCTCTAACCTCGTATAAATCGCAACCTTAGTGCAATAACGCCCCATCTGCGAGATTACAACTTTTAGGAGAGAGGTTTCAAGATTCTATCAATGAAGTTAGTCGCTAACTTTTATGTTTAAATAGGAGTAATAAAATTTCACATATAGATAGTTTGTTTCCTGTGGTTCGTATTACTTTTCGCTTTCATGTGATAAATCACTTTTGCCGTATGACGTTGCTTTATTTTACCAAGGATACGAAATATACTTGTAAATTATTTAGAACAGTGTTTGACTTTAAACTATCGTACATATAGATAGATAATATTGCATTTTTTTATAAATCATGACCGAAATCGTGGTAGCCCTATGGTTTGATCTACCTCCTCGCAAGCAGAGGCCGTGGGTTCGAATACGGGCTCACGCCTCTGAGTTTCTTGGAATTTATGTGCGAAATTTAATTTGAAATTTATCATGAGCTTTTTGACGAAGAAAAACATTGCCACGTCGTACCTGCACGTCGAGGAAGTTTCACAACTCTCGAAAAACGTGTGGGGTCTAGAACTATGGCCTACAAACATGTGACATATAAATGGGTTGTTGATGATGATGATGATAAAATCATGATCTTAAAGGATTTATATTGCTCATTGTGAGTAGCGCTTCTCTAAAGACTAACCTGTCCATAGTACTGGCAGTAGAGTATGAGGGCGCGTAGGAAGCGTTCCGTGGTGGGTTTATGCAAAACGTTGACCATCATGGGGGATAACAAAGCAGTAGGTGCAGTGTATAGAACTAGGTCTTTTATATCCTGGTAACATGAGTAGACGATAAACTCTAAAGTCAAATGTTACACATACTACTTTTGTTTCGTGCGTTATTCCTATATGTATGAAAGGTTCTTCTGACATCTGATATAGTTTAATATTATTATAGGAGACCACGTACAACAGTGACACTCAATATTACAGGAACTTGATGATCTATCTATTAAAGTATTCCAAGATTTGTACGGGATAGTAAGTCTTCGAAATTTACTGAGCATCATCGATTACAGTTAAATGCGCAATTATTTAAAAAAAATACAAAAAATAAGGACTATGGTGCGAAACAGCAATGAGAACAAACATGATCTTTGTTTAATTCTTGGAAGCATATCCATTAACGTATACTATACCTATATTAACAAATTCAAATTAATGAGACGTAACGAAAGGTCAAGGTAGAAGACTCAACAAAAAATACAAAGTTGAATAGTATTCGGTATGTGATGAAAATAAACACTAACTGACCTTGTTTGCCCATAATCCGACTAATGTGTACAAATGAGAAAGGAACCTTTATTCTGTCACTCTACGTAATGACGATGCTACAGCGACAATGTACATTTTCACTAAACCGAGTACAACATGGTTGCTGACATCAACTCTCGTTATACTTGTAGTAAGAAATACTAAAGTCTTATTTAATGATAACAAAGTAACCACTAAAACGAAGACTATACCTGTAAAGTTACCACATCGTCTTCTTTATCAATTTTCCTTTGGAAAATTTTTCTGAATTTGTGCTGAAAATATTCCATAAAATAAGCACGAAGGACTGTAGGTAATCAGTTATAGACAGGCGTGTAACTTACCATCAGGCGCACAACTTGCTCGTCCCCTCACTTGAAATTATAAAAAACAACAAAAAAAATCAGTTGTTAGTTCGCCAGTTTGTATTTGTTGAAATTAACGTGAATATTTACTCACGTCGGGCTAAGGGACCATACAAGTAAAACGAGAAGTAACGCGTAGAAATACACAAGATTTGAAATTATAAAAAATGTGAAGCTATAGAAATTTTCGAAAAAAAACCTTTTTTACCTTAATTGACACTACTTTAGCTCTAATTCAAATGTTTCCCGTAATGAATCGGTTCCATTGCACGGGTGGAGTGGCAGGGACACTGGCTTTATTTCAGAATTAATAAGAAAGTCTTTACTATTGTACTTGTGAACTAAGCTATGCTAGTTTTTTTTTAAACTTTAAATAGACTCTTATACAATATATTTTAATACCATAAATCTATACCTGTTCCAAGACGTCTAAGTTGTCTCTAAATTCGATAGGTCCTACTATCACAGGTGGTACATAGGTTGGCTTGGCTGATAACGAGGCAATATCGCTGCAATAAAGTATCGACGCTCAAATATGATACAAATTAAAAGTATTCCAAAGAAATTTATATAAATGTCTATTTTTTTAAAGAAAACTACTGCGAAACTCAGTGCCATTTTCCACTAAGCGACTAGCCGTGAGCTCGACTCGACGCGAGTCTGTTTTACTCAGAGTCGCGGCCGCCTCTATGGGTATCGTATAATGACTTTAAGACTCGCGCGCCACCAGCCAACCACGACTATCCGCTCAGTGGAAAATGCGTGTCAGACATATTTCGAACCACTCCGTGGTCCTTAGGGAGCGTTCCCATTGTGTCGTAATGTTTTATTTATCGTTGGACGACTGTCGCGTCTAGCCTGTTCCCATATCACGACTATCTGTCGTAAGCAGTAGAGCTCCTTGTGAAAGAGTTCGTCCAGGGAAGTACTGCCACCTTACCTATTTCTGCCGCCAAGCAGTAATGTTAGCATTATTGTGTTCGGGTTTTGAAGGGTAAGGGTGCTGGTGAAATTGCAGGCACATGGGACTTATCAACTTATGTCTCAGGGTAACGGGCGCAGTGGCTGTGCCCCTCAGATCTTTGCGATTTGAAGCTCTGAGTGAAACTGCAACTGTTATGGTCAGGCGTGTGCCTTATCATCAGGCGCACGACTTGTGCGTGCCGTCACTTGATATTATATATTACATATTATACATTACATATTATAAAAAAAAGACTGTGTCGTGGACGTTTATTTTAACTGTTCCCGTTCACGTGTCACGATCTAGTGTGACGACAATTTAACGGTTCATGGCAGCGGCCTTGTCGTTTGGACGACAAAATCGTTTGAAGCTGCTTTGATTACTTGTCGTTACATTTTTATTGTGACGTTTTATTTATCGTCAAACGACTGTCGTTCTACCTCTTCTCATTACCACGACAGTCTGTCTTCGTAACGCCAAAAAAGTCGTGAACGACAGGTAATCGTGTTGTTCTATGTGTGAACAACTTCATTTAAATATACAAGACACGATACTTTAAATTGCACGACTATCTGCAATCACGATATAATGGGAACGCGTCCTGAGTCTTAGACGCAACGAAAACCGCGCACCAAAGCTTTGAAAAACTCGGTCACTCAGTACGGGTGTGGGCGCAGGCGATGGCGGCGACAAACTAGCCTCGTTTGCTTCATTCTTATTAAAAGCATATTATGTAGGATTGCACACTACACTAACCAAGGCACGTTCCAATATCTCATCCACACTAACCGCCGATATAGTACTTAACAACTTTCTAGCCGAAAAGTTGTTTTGGTACCGACTATTCACATACACACAAACATGTCGTGGAAAATTCGCCATAAATAAGTGAGTTATCCGTTAGTTTACTTGAAAATGTCTATTTTTTTGTTAATACGACCATGATAAGCAAAATACAACCGGTAAGAGAAAACCGGTGCAACAGTAGGTTATTGAACTGGAATTTTATTTCGTTCAAATAAAACTTTATTTGAAATAAGGGCAAAATAAATTCAAATACGAGTACCCACCTCACGAAAACAAGCTTATTCTCCTTATGACACCAGTCCCAGTGTCCGCTGGCATAGGGCGATTCGAAAAAAGACTCCTCGTCGTCATCATCGAATGTATCCGTCGTCGGTGCCTGCATTTTACTTTCACACAGTATTCTCCAAATTACACCACTGTAGTAAGAAAAGAAACACTAATACTAAATAATATAAAATACGATTTATAAAGCAAAATTTAAAACACTTTTATATAAGAAGATAATCATAGAAATATTCTTAAAAAATTAACAATATATATTATGCAAGATATTTTATATAAGAAGATAAACATAGAAATATTCTTAAAAAATTAACAATATATATTATGCAAATATTTGTCAAAAAACCAAAAAGTTTTTAAAAATCTAACAATTTTAGCAAAGATTGACACACGTCAATCTAAACAATTTAAAACTCGCACGAATTTTTTAATTACAAAAAGTTTTTGTTCATACCAATAGAAGAAACCCAAAGAGATTTTATTTGGAAAAAATCCAGTGATTATGTATATATAATATATTTGTTGAAAAAAGAGATATTTATAATTAGTAATAAAAAAAAATAAAAATAAAAATCATTTATTGCAGACAATATACAGTCCATTTTGTTAGTACACTTACAAGCTATCTATTCTACTGTTAGTACAAAAATTACAAAATAAAAATAAAATAAAATGAATAAATGAATGAAATGCATTGAATTGATTACATAATGAAATGATTACATGATGTGTGATACTTGGTAAGTTCACCGAGCTCCCAGGTTGTGAAGTTCGGTGAACCTAGCAAGCAGATCGGAGTCCCACCTATCCCCTATCATTTTAAGAACTCTGTTTGAGCTCTCTCGCAATCTGCGCCGACAGGATGCCACCTTTTTACGCATTAGTGTGTAAAAATCCTCTACACTAGCGTCGGCAAACATGCCTGACGCACTGCAGTATCGAGGAAGCCCAAACAGAGCCCTGAACACATTACTATACATAATGCGTAGGAAGTTATAGGCCTTCTGAGTGAAATTGACCCATAGCCTGCTCGTGTAGAACGTCTGGCAGTATGCTTTAAAAAGCGTTATTTTGACTTCAGCTGTACAACGAGCTAACGTATGAGCCAGCATACTACCCCGAATTGACAAAGCCCTGCATTCCCTTTCTATGTCCAAGTTGTCATACAAGTTTTATGTGACTATGTGCCCAAGGTATTTAAATTGTTTTACACGGTTTAATGGTACTCCGTTAAGAAATAGAGGTGGATTATTGTCTGAATATTTACTGTTACATTAAATACCATAAATTCACTTTTCTTTTCGTTGTACCTCAAACCATGCAAAAGTGCATAATTGTCACAAACTTTTAGTAATTTCCTCAGGCCACCAATCGACAGGCTCAGCAGCACCATGTCGTCGGCATAGCTTAAGTTATTCACACAAACATCATCAATAAAACACCCAACATGCATGCTGCTGAGCTCCTCGATCAGAGAATTGACATATAGGTTAAAAAGCCTTGTGTGTAGTGAGGCAATTCCACCCTGCCCCACTCCGCGTTCTAAGGAATATTTGTCAGAGTATGCGTTTCCCCACCTTACAACATTAGATTGATTGCCATACCAGTATGAGAAAATTGCTACAACCTCCGGAGGACTACCGGCGTCCCTTAGTTTTGTCCAAAGCTTATTATATGAAACTAAATCAAAAGCCTTGGACAAATCCAGGAAGCAAGCATACACCGGAGTCTGCCGCTCGATATAATACTTCACAGTACGTTTTAAAGATAATATAGCACTTTCCGTGGATAGGCCAAACTAAGTGTCGAGAAGCGACAGCACAGTATCAAGTTGCTTATTTAATAATCCGTCAAATACTTTTGCAATTACTGTAGCTAGGGATATAGGTCTATAATTATTCTTATTTGATGTATCACCAGTGGCGTTCTTAAGTATCGGAACAACTATACTTTTTAGAGCTTCAGGCCAATACGAGTTTCGTAAAGAAAAGTGTACAACATAGAAAGTACTCCATAAAGATGTGGTCCAGCATGTAGTAAATGCTCTATGCTAAGCCCGTTATGTCCGGGGGACTTGGGTCTCTTCATTAATAGTTTATTCAAGTTTAGCAATTATACTATACTATAATTATACTATCACTTTATCCCAAAGTTACACTACGTTTTAGTAGCCATAGTGCAATTGTTTCTTCCAGGGAAGTACTGCCACCGTATTTATTATTGCTGTCAACAAATAATGTGAGCATTAGCGCGTTCCGATTTTGAAGGGTATTACAAGTACTAGTGAAACAACAGCACATGAGACTTGTAGACTTTACGTCGCAAAGTGACGGACGCAGTGGCAGTGCAGAGCTTTGCGATTAAGCTTTGTGTGGCACTGCAACTGTTTGGTTAGGCGTGTCGCTTACCTTCAGGTGCAGGTAGAGATGGGAACATAGGGCACACTATAAGTTCCCGGAACTGGCCACTTACATAAATAATATTTAAAAATGGAACTCTCTGGCTGTATAATACAGTTTGTTTCATCTGACTGTCACTTGTTTTTACATTGTGGCGTCATTTTAGAAATTGGTTGTCTACATCACCATGGATTTAACTTGTGAAAATTTTCGTAGTATCATTTTCTACGAGTTTAAGTGTAATGTAACAGCTCAGCGGAGCTTCACTCGGCTGCAAACTGCTTTTGGCGATGAATCACTATGCAAGACGACTATTTATAGTTGGTTTGCAGAATTCAAACGAGGTTGTGTGAATCTCAGTGACAAATTTCGTGATGGTCGCCTGTCCACTGCTGTGAACAAGAAAAACATCGATGCGTGTGCCGTATGATGAAAACAGACAGGTATGTGACATACTATGAGATTCGGGCATCTTTAGGCATAGGTATGAGTCAAATACAATCAATACTACACAAACATTTGGGTGTGAAAAAGCTGTGCTCTCGGTGGATCCCACACAATTTGACTGAGACTCAAAAAACGGATCGCGTCTCTGGTGCAATGCCATGCTTACCAGATTCAACGAAGGGGCATCCAATTTGGTGTGGGACATAGTAACAGGTGACGAAACATGGATTTATAGTCACGATCCAAAAACAAAGCAGCAATCGAGCGTATAGGTCTTTCGAGATGAGCCGAAACCAAACAAAGTGGCGCGCGTGTAAAGTGCCTCTAAGCGGATGATTGCTTCTTTTTTTAATAAAACTGAACACGTGGCTGCTCTTGCTTTGGAGAATCGTTGTACCGTGAATAGTGATTGGTACACGACCATTTGTTTGCCGGAAGTTATTGACAAACTCCTTAAAAATAACCGTAAACGCCGTATCATCTTGCACCACGATAATACCAGTACTCACACGGCCAGACAGACAAATGAATTTTTGAAGGTGAACAACGTTGACCTTATGAGCCATCCCGCGTACAGTCCCGATCTGGCACCTTGTGACTTTTATTTATTTCCATAAATTAAGAACCAGTTACGCGGTCAACGATTTTCATCACCTGAAGAGGCTGTCGAAGAGCATGAAAAGTATGTTTCAGAGATTGTGACGGAAGTGGCATAAATGTTATCAAAATTGGTTCATTCATATGATAAAGTGCATTAGCGATAACGGAGAATATTTTGAGATACAATAAATTCATTTCTTACCATTTATAGTATTTTTTTTAAATTCTGCTTAAAATCGTGGCCAAAATCGATGAATTCGTTTGTTATAATTTCATACTTATTACGATTTTCGAAAAAAGTTTCACACACAATAACCACCTTGCAATCCCGTGAACTCTCCCTTAGTTAGGCATGCACATTACAGTTTGATTTTTATGAAGATCGATTGAAGTGTAGACGAGACGATAACGAGTTTTTGTATAGATTCATTTCAATGCGATTTTCAAGCGAATCGATTCAATAGAAAAGCAAAATATGTAAACAAACAACAAACATTTGAATAAAACTCGATTTACAAATATGTAGCTGTATATTTAGGCGTTACCAAAGCGCCGAGTTAAAACCCGGGCGCTTGCCCATCTCTGGTCGCGGGACTTGTTCGTCCTATCTATATGATATTTAAACAAAAAGCGTTTATCGTAAAAGAAATACCGCTTGTTTACGGGATTTAAATAGGAAATTTTTAAATAATAAATTTCGATACTATATGAAAAAGGTAATGCGGAGGAATTATACTTTATTAAAATGTTACGAGTATATTATTCGGTCGGTGTGGAAAATACGTTCAAGGAAAGTCTTTTCCAGTCCGCAGTTTAGTCAGAACTGCCTTTTGTCCAAAATAAAAGCGTGGTAATTTGAACACCTGTCTAGATTTTAGGTTAAATATGGAGGGTCTCAGGGCGCTGTAAATTAGTATATATAAAATAAGAACAGGCGGAGAGAATTTGACACAGATCCGACGTCAACAAGCGCCCGATGTCGACTGACGGGCAGCGGGCGGCGCGGTGTGTCTTTAAGCCGCTGGGCAATTTGAGATGAATGTGAATTTAATAACTAATAGTGCTTCAGTTGATAACTAAAATTTAGCAGGTTCTCTGTAGTACTTAAAGAGAAATATTTTATTCTTAATTAAGGTGAGTCACCGGAGGAGACGCGGGAAAAACTGTTTTGGTACATCAAATGGTTTAATATTTACTATGAAATAACGGTTTTTCAAAAAATTATACGATACCTACACCCAAGGATATTATCTAAAGAATGTGCTAATGTGTTACACGATAGGATGTACCTTATCCGGTCATATAAAATCCTGAAAACAGGCTGAAATAAAAGTCGAAAACCAATATTTTTGAATTTCTGTCAGTTTGTCTGTGGCCAGTCAATCTGGTGGTCATCCATGGTGATTGAACGCGACAATTATATATAATATTATGCATTTGAGTATACCGTCTTATTTTAAAATGCTTATTTATTTATGGAATCCCTATTTATGTGGTATGTGCGGTACCCACCGAAATTAAAAACTAATTCGGATCATGCAATTGAAATAAAAAGGTACTTACTTAGTAATCTGCTTGCTCTTTCTAGTAATTAAAGCTCATCTTATTTTAAATATAATTAAATTAATTGCCATTTGTTACTTTCCATTAGTTT